TGAAAGCTGCAATTTGGATTTTGAACAATGTTTTCCATATGGGGCACATGCCAGCTGTAATCTTTACAGGTTTCCAGGTCACTCCCAAGGAAATACAGGTTTCAGATTTCAATCTATAAAGACTTTAGAAATTACAGATATATAAACTTAATTTTTATTCTTGAAAAATGCTAGGAAAGTTGCAAACACCTCATTTAAAGGAGGGTACTGATAACAACAAGCACAGGAACATAGAGAAAGTGCTAAAATGGACTAAAGAGCCATTTAATACACCCCCCTCATTTTACAAATGAGGAAACTGAGACCCAGGGTGGTTATGACTTATGCAAAGTCATACAGGTAGTAAGAATCAGAGGTGGATCATGGTCTCTTGATTCCAATGACCAAGCTCATTCTAGTTTACGTGCTTCCTCTCAAGCTTCATAAAGAACAAGCTTTGTTGGAACAGTCTCTTGAGATTGATTGTTAAACATGGTAGACAAAGGGGAAATGATAGATCTGATACATCTTTGCTTTCATAAAGCCTCTAATTCTGTCTCTCATGATATACTTGTAAACAATATGGAAAAAATGATGTCTGTCACATTACAATTAGGTTGACGTACAACTGACCATATTCCGAGAGAACTTATCAGGGAAAGTATTAAATTAGGGAAACAGGATAATATAACTTCAGTTTGGAGAGAGACCTTAAAGATCATTTGACTCCACTCTTAACCAATACTGGGATTCTTTATATGACACTCTTGTCTTGAAAAAAAATTAGTGTCAGTTTTTGAAGAGGTAGAGGAAAAACTGAAATTTCTTTAAAAATTTTCATAAAACCAATTAATAATAGATGTGAGTGATAATAACAGAACCTGTGGTGTAGGGCTGCTATAAGGTTCAAATGAGAGTACATCTGTAAAGGGCTTCACAAGTCTCAAAAGTGCTCTATGTTAGCTTTTATATTATAAGAATTGAGTTTCTATTTCATCAAAGCTCTTTTGTTTACATTATTGTAGTTATTTTGTATATTGTTTTACTAGTCCTTCCCAGATCCCATATGATTTCTAAGATTCTATGATGGTATGATTCCATTGTTTGAATTCAAACACTATTGACCTATTGTTTTAATCAAGATTGGCTTGGAGGTTTTACTTACTGTTAGATGGAGAGAACAACAGATTGAAATCTGGGATACTAATGACTACAGCAGCCTTGATAAAATAAATTCACTGGAATTTGTTTCCCCCTTGACCCAAATCTGATGACCATCAGGGCAGAGTGCACACCCTACATCGATATAAGGCTCATCTTTTCTCGGCTTCTGTGTATTTAAGAGCATGGTTGAACAGAAATATTTAAGTCTGTTGCTTAACAGGAGTCACTTGAACTTGCTACTTTTGGTTAAGGTCCTGTATAACATTTCCAATACTTGCTTCTGATTCCTTAGTGTCCAGTGGATGCTTTTGTTAATGCACCCAACCAATAGGCATTTGTCACATCCCAGGTCCCCAGAGACCTCTAAGCCCCTCGAGATTCTGAGTGTAAACCCTTTTCGAACTACAGCATTGGGCATAACTTCATACTCTTGGCTCATCAGTTACTGTCAGATTTAGTGAAAGAGGAAAAAATCCCACTAAACAAAGGGACAAATGATTTTCAGGAGGATTTTGCCTAATTAGGAGATGGATGACATAACAGAGGTTGCTGGCACTAATTGCCTACTGATGAAACTAATTCAGTTTCTGAAGCAGTGTTTTTCTTTGTTCCTGGTTATTCTTTGTTTTCTGCATGATGAGCTTTCCTTTAGAAATATGCTTCAGGAAAAAAAAAACTGCCATAAAAAAGTATGGGGCCACTGGGGAAATAAATGATATAATTACCTATGACACCCAAATAAATGATGGCTTCTTCTTCCAGTCCTCCCTCCTCTTAATGACTCTGATGACTGAAGTGCCAGAATTCATTAAGGAGAACAGAAGCTAAATCTCTGGAGATTAAGCAGTCAGCAGGATTCATACCTGCTGCAAAATAAGTTGCCTCCAGGAATGGCAAATCAGTACCTTTTGCAACTGACAAAGAGAACCCATTAGGTGCCCATTTTGAAACCAAGGAGAAAGAAAAATCAAGTGGAAGAAAAGTCTTAAGAAGAGAGACAGACAGAGAGACAGAGAAACAGAGACAGAAAGAGACAGAGACAGACAGAGAGACCGAGAGACAGACACAGACATAGACACAGAGATACAGAGAGAGAGAGAGAGAGAGAGAGAGAGAGAGAGAGAGAGAGAGGGAGGCTTTCTCTTGTTTTTCCAAAAATCAGGCAAAACCTATTTGTCAATAGGTCACATTGACTTGTTTGAAGTAATTTGGCTTTCAGAAGACAAATAAATATTGCATGTGTGAAGACAAGCCAGGCAGTTAGAGGCATTCTTCTTTCAGAAGGCCAAGTAACTAGACTCCAATCGAGGAGTATCTGGACAATTTTCAATTCCTATAGCAGAGGGTTCTTTTCTAATTATGTGAGGGACGACTTTAGGATTTCTAAAAAATTAAGATCATAAGACCATCAGTGTAATTTCTTTCTTAAGATAATATGCATTGGTAAACAAATGGTTTGCAGTGACATTACCAGATCAGCTGTGGTCTGTAAATTCTAGTACACTTTTGAAATGTTAAAGACATCTTATGGTAAGAATTCCAAAATGTCCCTGTAAATACCCCAGCATCTTAACGTCTGTTAAGTTGCCAGCTTTTCAGAAGTCTGATTCAGGTGTTCTTAACCTTTTTTGTGTCATAGACCACCTTGGCAGTCCAGTAGAGCAAATATATCCCATCTCAGAAGAGTGTTTTATAAAATACATAGAATTACAAAGGAAACAAATTATATTGAAATATGGTAATAGATATAATATCCATATATGCACATACATATTTAAAAACAAATACACAGAGTCCAAGTTAAAAACCCCTAGTTTAATTCTATCACAAACTAATCTTAATGTCAAATAGACCCTGGGCCTTTAAATGCAAATTTCCAAACCACTCTAGGGAGAAGGTGAAGGGAGAATTGCATCCATCACACTCTTATTTAAAATGAGTTTTAACCCCTTAGGCTGAAATAGAAAATATAAAAACCAGCCCCAATTTTTTATCACCAATTTGGCAGAAAACATCTAAATCTCTAGAAATGGAAGCCAATGATTTTACTGAAATGAAAGTTGCAGTTTTCAATAAAAGCAGAGTGAGGGTATGTTATTTTGAATGGTATTTGTAATTGGCAGTAGCAGAAGCAGTCTAGATGAACCGGAGATTGAAGAAGGGTGGGAATGAGTGGAGTATTTTGGTGGGGTGAAGCTGGCTCCTTGCAGTATCCACCAAACCCTGATAAAAGAGTTTCAGAAAATCAGTCTTTCTTCTTGCCCCCCATATCATGCAGCACTATTCATAGTACTTTGGCTCTGACTTGTAATGGTAACAGGGAAGACTGGGGGGGCCTGGAAAAATAAGGAGGAGTATTTGTTGTTTTAAATTTGAAAACAAGTCCAGCTGGTGTCTCCATAATCTCTCAGCTCCAGGATTCATGTATTAAATATTTGGATTTCACTGGGCTGTTCCGCTCTAAGTGGGTGTTCTAAATTATTGTCGTTTGTGTTTTTAGCATATGCGTGTATGTAGCCCTTCATATTTCACACTGGGCCTTATAATATCTTCAGAACTCTAGTCCCTGTCACTTCTTAGTAATGCAGGTGACCGAACTCTTCAAACCTATTCACAGTAAAGATCAGCTAATAATAATGGGAAGGCAGGGGGAGGGAGGGGGAATGAAACTCTCTTAATGTCATCACCACATCCAGCCCCATCTGAAGCTGTGGCTTTTTGCCCAGGGAATTAAATAGTGGTACGGGGAGGGAAATCACAGAGCTGGCAGTTGAGGGGAGCCTTGGCCTGACAGCTGCCCAGTGCTAAATTCTTATTGACTTACCTCTTTAGCCAATCCTAATGATAACTTCTCTTTAGATTTCACGCTGGACTTTGTTCTCAGAGATACAGTAAAAGGGATGCTATTGTTTTTGACAAAGCATTTGGCAGGGAGCTGTTTCATCTGCTCAGCAGTGTTACAAGTGCAGGAGCACCCACAAGCACCCTCTCCATAAACCTAGTGTGTGTGTGTGTGTGTGTGTGAGAGACTCCTCTGGGAGGACTATGCAATTGTGCCCAGGGAATCTAATAGAATAGAACCATGGTTCAGACAGTCAGATGACATGATATAGTGGGGACCTAAGGTCAGAAAAGATATAGGTTCAAATTCTGCTTCTGACATTTACTAGTTGTGTAACCCAGGGTGACCTCTCAGCCTCAGTTTCCCATGTATAAAATGATGATTAAAACAGCAACAAAAAAAAATCCCTCTATAGCACCTACCTTACAGGTGTGTTGGAAGAATGAGATAATATATTATCAAATACTTTACAAAATCTTTAAAACTGTCAGATAATACTGAAATCCTTCAGACTCATAATTTAACAAAGCCAAAAAGACTATTTGTGAAAGCCTGGGGGAAGGGAAGGAAATGTAAACCCTTAGAGAAGGACAATTCAGAAGAAAAGGTCTTTTTTTTCTTCTGTGTAAGAGGAGAGTTAAGCTCTTTCCCAGAGAGAACATTAAGATGATGCCAGAGGCGCTAGAATCTTCTCACGAACTACAAAGTATGTATGACAAAGGCAATGGGGAAAGTGTCTGTTTCTGTTTGAGGCAAATTTGATGAAGCATAAAGGGTGCTGTTTAAAAGGTGTCCCTTAACTGCTATTTACCTCCCTTTTCTCAGCTGTAAAATGTGGATAACAATAGCACTTTGCAGGGTTGTTGTGAGGATCAAATGTGATAATTATCAACAGTGCTTGACACAGAGTAGATGCTATATTAATGCTTCAATTTGTTATTAGGCAATTTTCTGTTTTTGGCCGTGCCACTATGTAGCTATGTAAAGGGAATAATAATACTTACCTTCCTTACAGTATCACGAGGAGAAAATGATATATTTGAAAGTCTCTTAAAAAACGCACCAACAAATGTAAGTTATTGTCATTATCATATATACAAATACACATGCATGTTTTAATTTTCTTACTCATTAATCCCCAAGTCAATGCACTACTCAGTCCTTTTTCTGAGGATAATCTTCAAAGACAACCAGGAAGAAAAGAGAGTTACTCTCTCTTTAGGTGTCTTTTCATGGCTGTAAAAGTCCCCTCGAAGGGATTGCCCTAATATTGTGAAATCCCAGTCATTCATGAGGGAGCTCAGGGAAATATCTTTGTTTTTGAGCCTGATCCTTCTGTTGAGGGAAGCCTTGATCCCTCTGGGGAGGGGTATTAACTCTCTTAGCCTTCAGGGACCCATGTAGGCTATTACCTATTGGCAGGACGCTGAATGCTTCCTGAGGGAACCAAAAGAATGAATGTAGCTCTGTATCATGAGCTATTTATCCCCTTCTTAACAGTAAGATCCAGTCCCTTCTTTTCATTATTGAAAATTCATTAAGCATCCTATGTCCTTAATGCTGCTTAACCTGAAAAAAGCCAGGTCCTTGCTCTTAACAGAGATTTCTTAGTGCTTTTTAAGGCATTGTTAGTCATTTACCATGATGCCATGTCAGTAGAGAAATGAGCATCTTATGCAATAATGCATATTTTCTAAGTGACAGATTTACACATTGTGAAATCTGGAGAGCAACTAAGGACTCCAGCCAAGTGTGGTATTACCATGGAAACCTTGTCAATTACATTCCAGGTGTAAAACAGGGAGATTATCTCAAATAAGAAGACTAAAGGATTCATCTACTCCCTGGTTTAGTTGTTAAAGTGAATTATGGTTTGAGATCACTAAGATACTTTGATTTTATTATATAAATTCATTGCCTAACCCTCATGTTAGGAACACTCACCCTTCTCATCTGACTACTGAAATCTGTCTTCTTTAAGACTCAGATTGGGCTTTAGTCTCTCAAAAGAGAATGGTACTCAAAGTACAATATGTATCAGGTATGGGACAGGTATTTATTTTCTTCACACAAAAGAAATGCTAAAAAAACCAAAATACTCTCACAAGTGTGCAGTGGCACTCAAGACAAACAGCAAACAGTAGTGTTCCCTACTATAATCTATGACTGGTAGGTTGAACTGGGAGGTTGAGTATTCTTGATTAGGTATTTTACATTTCACCTTAGATGCACTGTCCAAACAGCTCTCAGTATGTCTGCTGGTAAAATAGCTAGGATTAATCTAATCCTCTTCTCAGTGTTGATCCTCTCTAAGACCATTAGAGTAGGTTGCTGGGGTGCTCTATCCCTTGCATCATTAGGCTCAGAACAAAGGACTAAGGACCTCAAGACCTGTTGAAATCAAAAGGTTTCCTGACAGGTCCATCTGGGGAGAGATACTCATTTACTTAAGATTACAGAAGAACCAATGGGGAGGTAGGATGCATAGTAGAGAGAGTGCTAGGCCTGGAGTCAGGAAGATTCATCTTTGTGACTTCATATCTGGCCTCAGACACTTACCAGCTGTGTGATCCTGGGCAAGTCACTTAACCCTGTTTGCCTCAGTTCCTCATCTGTAAAATGAGCTGGAGAAGGAAATGGCAACACACTCCATTATCTTTGTTGAAAACAAACAAACAAACAAACAAACAAACAAACAGAAAACCCCAGTGGGGTCACAAAGAGTCAGACATGACTGAAAAATGACTGAACTTTCTGAACAAAAGAACCAATATTAAAGCAGAAAAGGCAGGCAAGAGTCCCAGTGCAAGCTCCCCTAGTTGAGAATCTCTGCAATAGCAGCCATGTGAATAAGATCACCATGGTGCCAGGTTGGATCAGGGCCAACCTTTTCCTAACTCTCAATAGAAGTCTCAGTTACATAATAACACCTAGAGGACTCCACAGAGTCCAGAAGCCAGTCTCCAATGTGGCCAAATTCTGTGACATAATATCCCTGGAGTCCCCAAAAAATTTCCAGGGGAATTCTGGGTGGACACTCCCTGGAATTGCCCCTCTAGGCCAATTCTACATCTGTTACACATTTATTTCAGGGGATGTGAAAAAAATTTTTCTTATTTTTGCTAACCTTTGATTTCTTTTATAAACCTATATATTTCATGTATCTATAAACATTACTTGGAGAAGGGATCCATAGCCTTTTTACCAAATTGTCAAAACAGTCCTTGACAAAATAATACGGTTAAGAACCCTGGCGCTAATGGGAATTTAGAGTTAGGTTCTGAAGAGCTTTAAGTACCATTCAAAGAAATTTAGGGAGTTATAGGGAGCCATTAAAGTTTTTAGAGCAGGGGAATGACTTGGTCAGACCTGTGTTTCAGTCACTTTGGCGGCTATGTGGAAGATAAGAAAGAACAGGAAGAGTTTTGACTCAAGGAAGTTAATTAGAAAGCTCTTACAAATAGTCTAGGGCAGGGGTGATGAACCTGCGGCCTCAGGGCCACATGTGGCCTTCTAAGTCCTTGGGTGCAGCCTTTTGACTGAGTCCAAGTTTTACAGAATAAATCCTTCTATTAAGGGGATTTGTTCTGTGAAATTTGTCACAGTCGATGGCCTGGAGGCCACATGTGGCCCTCTAGGTCCTCAGTTGGGGCCCTTTGACTGAATCCAAACTCCACAGAACAAATCCCCTTAATAAGGGGATTTGTTCTGTAAAACTTGGATTCAGTCAAAGGTGGTACCCAAGGACCTAGACGGCCACATGTGGCCTCGAGGTCACAGGTTCCCCACCCCTGTGCTAGATACTTATGTTGTCTCAAAAGAGATTGAGGTCTAAATCAGATGTCTGGTGTCCAAGTGTGAGGGATATCCATGCCTACTTTCTGTTCTTTTTCAGTCTACTCTTCCAGTCTTCTTACACCTTACTCTCCCCAAACCCTTCCCCTGCATTCTAGGGACACTAGCCTCTTTGCTACTCCTCAGGTAAGACAGTCCATTGAGACTGTATTTTCACTGGCAGTTTCTAATGCCCAGAATTCTCTTCCTCCTCCTCTCTGCCTTCTGGATTTTCTGGCTTCCTTCAAGTCCCAGATAAAGTCCCACTCTCTTTAAGAAGCCTTTCCTGATTCCCCTTTAATTGTAGTGTCTTCCCTCTGTGTTCTCCAGTTTATCCTGTATATATATCTAGTTTGCCCTTAATTGTGTGTTGTCTTCTCCATTAGGCTGTGAGTTCCTTGAGAGCAGGGACTGTCTTTTACTTTTCTTTGTATTTCCTGCATTTACTATATTGCCTGGCCCATAGTAGGTGCTAAATAAATGCTTGTCGATTCAACTTATTGTCTTGCTTCAGCTGTTGAAGTTCTGGGGAACAAACCTCCAAAACTGAAATAGTTTAGAAAGAAATTTATTAGGTTGCTTGGTAGAGGAGAGAGAGCTGAAAAGGAAGTATAGCTCCCTCTCATCCAGACTCTGGAAAGTTTACCTTATATAGGACTTAGGCAAGGGTGCCTGCACACCTGTCACAATTACCCAGTTAAGCAACTTTGCCAATGGGGCAATTTGACCAAAACACAAGCTTGGGTGGATTCATCACCAGTCCTCAGTCTGATAACCAAAAACAAGAATGATTTGGGTGAATCCTGGACCTTGTAGCCATCCTGAGCATTTCTAGAGAATTACTGGGATCATGCAAAATTCTAAGTATGGCCAACCTTTAATCAATCACAAAAGGTGGAATTTAAACAGTAAATAATGTTCCCCAAACCATATAATAAATCATTTTCCCTACACTATTATAAGTTGGGTAGCAATAAAAAGGTTGATAATAAAGCAATATGGTTAAAAATAGAATATACTTGCTTAATAATGTAAATAAATGTCAGTTATCATTATTACAGTTGTATTATACACAAGCCAGTGCCACAATTCAATTAAGCTTTTAATTAATCCTTTTGACTGATGATGTGAAGGAAACCTTTTGCCATTTTAGTCCAGATTGCTTAATTTCCCTTATTTCCTCCTATTTATCAGTCTGTCTCCTCTTCCTTTCACAGGAATTCATCCAAAAAGCTCTTCATCTGACCATCTTCCTCTGAAGCACGTTCAAACTCTCCCACCTCTGACCCTTCTTTAGAACCATGTCACCTCCTTTCACTCCTCACTGCATGGAAGAGCCGTATAAAGCATAACATTCCATCTAGAAGCACAATACAGCTCTATTATGTTTTCCTTTGAAGGGATATTTGTGTTTGACAGGGGTTCCTGGTTGTCTGCATCACAACCTGAAAATGCCTGCATTTGTTGTAGTTAAGTGACACTTGGTCAGAGCCCTCCTACTGACACATGACCCATGACTTAAACAGGAAGCTTTCTTTTGCTTAATGAACAGATTACCTCTGAGAAAACAGCATTAGCTAGGTTTGTTTCCTTAGGTGGGAAACCAGTTTATACTTGAATATTAGTCTACCATTCAATTAATTCTGCTGAGAAGGATTGCCAAGTATCATTATTCCTATATTACAAATGAGAATACTTAAGTATAGAGAAGAAAATTTTACTTGTCAAAGATCATGCAACTAGTAAATGTCAGAGTGGATACCAGAATTCCAGGCCTATTCTTTTTTTTTTTTTTAGCTACGTCACACAGACTCTGTCTCCCTCTTGGACTGTACACTTCTGGAGATAGTGGACCATACCTCCTTCAAACCTTTTACCTTCTTCTGAGCATAACACTGAACAAACGCTTAATAGAAATTCTTCCTATTTCCTGGGTCAGTCTTTGTAATGGTTTAACAAATCTTGAGCTCTTAGTAGGTAGAAATAAGTCTCACAACAACTTTAAAAATCCACTTGTGACCCATCAGAACTAGATTTCTTAGCTTTTCTTTATTCTGCCCAGTTGCTTGGTATTGACCTAGATTCTACCTGGTGGTCTGATGAGTCAAAGAGCTTAAAAAAAAAAAGATAGAGACAGTTGGGTGGTTAGCTATAAAGGCAATTAAAAACATTCTGGGTGGGCCATTTTCCCCTGAAGTTGTTAATATTGATGAGTAACAGCATGTGGTTTCTGCTGGGGCTTTAGTTACTTAGGATCCTAAATCTAGAACTGGGAGTGACTCCTGAGGCCATCTTGTCCAACCCCATTTTTTGGAGATGAGAACACTATGGCCCAGAGAGATTAAGGTACTTTCCTGAAGTCACACAGGTAGTCCTAGAGGCAGGATTTATATTGCACTATTTTTTAGAGAATAGCACAAAGCAGAAACTAGAAAACCAAACTCAGAGAATGGAGAAGAATCTTGAGTTCTCCGTCCTAAAGACTTTCTCATTATATTTCCGGTGGAGCCTTGATGATTGTTGATGTTCTCCGATTTTATCCAAAATTCAATCTACAGGAAAAGATGAAAAATAATAATAACACACTCCATAGCTGAAATTATTTCCCTCCTTCATTCCCACTCCTGAATTTCCTCTTGAAGTCCTAATTAAAATTCCATCTTTTACTGAAAGCTTTCCCCAACCACTCTTAATTCTAGTGTTTCCTCTTTATTAATTGTTTCTTATTAATATTGTGTATAGCTTGCTTTGGATATATTTGTATGTTTTCTCCTTCATAAGGCACTGTCTCTTGCCTCTTTTTGTATTTTCAACACTAAGCACAGTGCCTGGCACATTTGTTGTTTTTCAATCACATTTGACTCTTCGTGACCCCACTTGGAGTTTTCTTGGTGAAGATACAAAAGTGGTTTGCCATTTTCTTCTCTAGATTATTTCACAGATGAGGAAACTGAGGCAAATAGGGTGAAGTGACTTGCCCAGGGTCACCCAACTAGTAAGTGTCTGAGGCCAAATTTGAACTCAGGACGATGAAGCCTCTTGACTCTAAGCCGTGTGCCATCTCACTGTCTTGCCTGGCACATAGTAGGCACTTAATAAGTATTTATTGATTGATTTAAAAGTTGAACCCCAACATAGTAGTGAAGACTCTGAGCCTGCAGGCTGGGTGGAATGCATCCTTATTAGAACTGCCAGGGGTTCCAAATAATAGCCTGGCTCTTGTATCTCGGTATGAGACCAAGAGCCTGAGCCATCTGTGCTCCTAGAAATTCACTCCAATAAATTTGACTTAAAATATGTAAAAACAACAACAAAACCCAGCAAATGTTCCAATGCAGTGACAAAAAAGAAAAAGAAGAACAAAATTCTTTTCTGCGAGTATGCTTGAGCAGGCTGAACATTATTCCTATCCTTTCTTCACTGTATATTCACATTGAATGAATTCAATAACAATTTCATTCAATCAATCAATCAAAGTGCTTACTATTTGCCAGGCACTGTAGTCCTAGAGATCAAAAGAAAATAAATGTAGCCCCTGCCCTCAAGGATCTTGCTTTCCAATTGGGGTGACATACACAAATTGATCCACTTAAGATATCTACATCAAGGTAGCCTTAAAGGGGAAAATGCTGGCAAGGAGGGGGACTGAGAAAGACCCCTCCTAGGTGGTAACACTTGAGCAAAGTCTTAAAGGTAAGTAGGGATTTTGTAAGATGGAAGTCAGGGGGTAAAGCACTTCAGAACCAGGGGACAGGAGAGAGTTTATGGAATATCAGGTGTGAAAAACAGCAAAAAGGCCAGTAGAACTATACCATAGAATTAGTTCATGGAAGGCAGTAAGGTAAAAGAAGACTGGAGAGATAAAAAGAGGCCAGGTTTTAAAGGATGTGCTAAATAACTTATACAGTACTTTCCTCACATGAAGCTATAGTTAGAAGATATCAGAGGTAGGAGTCAAACTCAGGTCTCCTAATTACAAGTCTAGTATTCTTTGCTCAAATGGAAAGGAACTTTTGAGGTTATTTTATGCCAAAAGATGGAACAAGGACCAAGGTTAAGTTATTTGCTTGAGATCACACAGCCAGTTTAGTGGTGGTGGCAGAAGTAATGGCTATGTTGGAATGACAAGGTTTTAGCCATGGTGGGATTGAAAAAAGAAGGAAAGAAACCAACAGGGCTTATGGATCTCTTCAATGTAAAACATGGTGGTGGTTGCAGGACTTTTGAATGTTGCCCTAAGGAGAACTGCATAATGACCAAGACCCTTGGGATCTATATCCATTTAAGATATCTTCATCTACCATGGAATAAAATCTAGCGCAGCAGCTGGATAAGCAGCTGGGTGGCAAAGTAGATAGAGCCCGGGCCCTGGAGTCAGGAAGGCCTGAATTCAAATCTGACCTCAGGCATTTACTAGCTGTGTGACCCTGGGCAAGTCACTTCACCCTGTTTGCCTCAGTTTCCTCATCTATACAATGAGCTGGAGAAGGAAATGGCAAACCACTCCAGTGTCTTTGCCAAGACAACCCCAAATGAGGTCACAAAGAGTCAGACAAGATTGAAAAACGACTAACCACCAACAGCAGAAATGCTGGATAAGAGCTGCTAGTCTGACGCCCCAGGGCTGGTTACTTGCACCAGTCTCTGGCCTTCATCTACCCTCCAAGTTTGCTCTGAGCTCATTGCTTATTGGGTTCCCTGTGCTTCAATTCCATCCCCACCTCAGATTCCTCAGGACAATGCCATGTTTCACTCTAGTCTAAGACTTCCTCCCTAGCAAAAGGAGAGGGGAGAGGGAATCAGAGTGCAAGCATGAATCAGGTATGAGACAGGGAGTTTAATTCTCATAAACAGAAAAGGGATTACTGACCATTACAGGACTATAGAATGATTACTAGAATTTCTTTGGGACATTTGTGACAAGACTGCTCATTAGCTATTTTATATATTTCATCTCTACTGAGTATAACCTGATGAATGCCAAATGGGCTCTATGTGTCAATGGTTTCTATCTTTCTGGGAGACTCTTCCTGGTCTTGCCCTCCATCTGCTGCTGTACATGCTACTTTTCCCCTCTAGCCAACACCCTGCTTTCAGTGTGCTTGGGGAGGGGAAAGATTCCAGCTTCCCCTCAAGAATCTCACAAGACTCCATACAAAAGGAAAGAAAGAACAAACAGGAAGTAGCCCCATCCCATCATATAAGCCTTCTGAGGGTAGGAGCTCAGAGAATTGTCCTTAAACCTCAAGGCCATCTGGAAGAAGAGGCTTGAGGGCTACAGATTGCCTTTGAGGTATATCCAAAAAGTTCCAGTTCAGAAGCCAATTAAAGGAGTCCTCATGACCAACAGGAAATAGAATATCTTCACTTGTGCTGAAGTTGGGAATGGGGTAGAGTAGAAAGGCTTCTTTATCACATATACCCAAAAGGAACTACGAAAGAAGAAGGTGATGTAGGTGCAGGGGATGTGGAACAGGGAAGGCAGAGTGGTATACGGCTCTGGTGTACCAAAACTATTTTAAGATGGAAATAAGAAAAGCTGGAAAGACAACTGGGGCTCTGGAATATTCATGTATTTTATATCTCCAAAGTCTTGCATGGTGCCTGAGACATAGTAGGCACTTCATACATGTTTATTGATTGATGGCCATCTTTGTATCCCAAGTATATATGTTGCCCATTCGGAGAATTTAGTAAATGTTTACTGAATTGAAGAATAGGCATTTGGAGCAAGTTATCTAGACTAGCAAAGTTTGTGGCTGTACATGTATTTTGCTTCTCTGTTTTTTGGAGATAACCATTTCCACCCCATTCATGGCCCTTGCTAGCTATTAGCTTGTCCCTTCATTTTCTGTGGTTTCTTTTTCATCTGTCTGGTCATAACACTTTTCTGAGGAAGTGTAGGGAATTAATCTGATTGTAACTGCTGGCTATTGACTGATGTGACACTCAGTTCTATGATGAAACTGTGATTCTATCATCAAAGAAGTCAGTTTGTGCTTTCAAATTAAACTCAAAGAACGAACTGGATGCGTTCAAATAAAGTACGTTCTCAGCACTCTGACGTCAGCTTATTGCATTAACTAAATTCAGAAATGTGTATCATAAGTGATAGAGCTATAACTGGGAATTTTAGAGTTCAGGGCAATTAGCACAAAGTACAGCTTCAGGTGGTTAGGTAGGAGATGTGTAGAGACCCAGGTCACCAGTGCCAGGTCACCGCTAAGGAGGCAAATAGGAATAAGAGGAAAAGAGTTCAATCTAGTATGCCATCTGCTAACTTTCTTTTAAAACTAATTCTTCTTGCCAAGTAGGAGCTAAGCTCCATTGTTTCACAAGTTGTCCATACTCTGGTCAAAGCCTCA